TGTGCAAATATTTACATTTGAACTTTCATTTAGTTTACATGCTGAATTCTTTTTATGATTGTTGCTGGTGTTGTTGATGGTGCTACCAAATTATCCTTGCTTGTTAATTCGTCTAAGTGTCGTTCTAGGGATGCATACAACGGGGTCTTTATTTTTAGTTTTATCGCTTACCATAGAATTTAATCACAAAATTTAAGAATATTTCTTTGTTTGAAATGCATTGCTTATTTTATTTTGTTTGTCGAAATTAGCCAGCTCACCACGTAATGAGCGTCAGTTTTAGTTGTTTCCCTCCTCCGTCAGCTGTTCCTCTTGGGACATATGCTTTCTTTGAACAGACGTCCGGCATTCGCAATGCAACCCTGGGCATCTAAAGGCTAGCCCACTTCATTATGCAGCACAACATTTTTGTTCGCATCACGCATACGTAAAGGCTACAGCCAAATAGCAGTCATACTGTTAGTGTTTATGTATATGTATGTGTGGCTTAGTGTGTTGGTGTCCTCGTATTTACTTAGACAAAACGTGCGTAAAGTTTTAATTATAAACTTTTACTTGGATTCCTTTTGGCCGTCGCCATCTCGTAGTAGCATGATGGTCTGCAGGAATCTTATGACATTTTAAAGATAAATTGTTCTCGAGATTTATGGTTTAAGGTGGAACAGCTGTTTCGTATTATATGCTTCTAATTTGTCACATGTATTTAAATTAATTAGGTCTGTGAATTATGCCATATATTTGAGTCCTTATGCTGGCCAATTTAAAACGATTTCAGCAATTTAAACACTTTAAACATTTTGCCTCGGACAAAAGAATTTTGTAAAATATTGGATGTCAAAAATTAAATATAGCTGACAACATGTTAAATTGTTCCCAGGGTGCACGAAGAGTTGAGTTGGATTATTCAGAATTTATATACGAATAATAAAATGAATTTAATAAATCTAGTTAATAATATAAAGAACTTAGTACACCAATAACGTTTTTAACTTGTTTTCTTTATGTGTGTTGTCATCAGCCAGAAAAATTAAAAAAAAAGATATTACATTGTTGCCTATTCAGAAATACCAACGAATTTTTTGTTTCATGTTACGCAGAATGAGCAAATATTAAACTCCAAACAACAAATGATTTTCACAAATTCTAAACGAAAATACGTACGAGTTTTTGATTGATTTGTGTTGTTGGCCAATATCGAAACCTTTTTGTGTAATTGAAAATGCGGTAAAGTAAGAATCAATTTAATTAATTGATAGCAATATGAATGAGAATTTTCCAGGAGTGCCATTGAAATTCGATGACCTCATTGAATGAGACTATTGATAAGACCAAATGAATATATTTATATTTTTTTTAGATGTGTTGAAAAATGTGAAAGGAATTTTTAGTTTAAAATTGAAAATAGTTTGAGTGCTATACAAAAGCGTTGACTTATTTTTATTATTTATTTATTCTTTAAATATCTCTCTTAAAGCATTTCATGCATTTAAGCAGCTCTGGCTTACATGCAGTGCCAAAGGCCACAATATACTGCCATTCTACATAATTTTTTTTATTGTTTATACATTCTTCATCGCGTGCTGGTTTCGAGTTTCGTTGCATAGTTGCTGCAGCTCCTGTTAGGAATAAAGTTGAAATACTTTAAAAAATATAACAACATATTTTGTGACTGTTATTGGTGAATGTTACGTGCCTACATTCGCTTTACTGCTGATGCCGCAGTTGTTATTGTATTTGCTTTTGCTTTTGCGCAATGCCTCAAGCTTTGTGAAATTGAGGAAGTTCAATGTTCCCATTCAGAGCGTCCTCCGTGCAGCGGAAGTCCAGCGATAACTTTTGAAGCGGACTGTTGTTATTTTTGTTTTGATTTATGCGACAAACAGCGCCAGGGGAACTATCAAAAATAATATAATAATATTTTGCACACCAGATCGAGCATGGATGCTTTAAAATTACTTATAGTGGAGACTTTATATTCTATAAAGAAAACTACTCCATGCTGTAAATTTAGACTAAATAACTAACGAAAATATATATTTGTATTTAACAAATAACCATCGTATTCGTGATTGAATTTTGTATGCTGGTCTTTTCTGTAATTCAAATGATAAGGGATAACATGTATAATGGATGTTATTAGGTAAGTTTAAATAACTGCTTATATGTCGGACAAAAGATTGTGTGCGCTCCTAGGGAACGAATAGCATTCATCATTCAATTGAAAGCCTGCACCATCATCATGAACGAATCAGTGCGTGTTAAGCGCACATCTCTCTCTCTCTCTCTCCCTCTCTCTCTCTCTCTCTCTCTCTCGCATTCACCACTCGGCAGACTTTGTGTTGAAATCCGTTCAGTTCTGTTCAAATCCAACGGTGCCGCCGCCAAGGGAGCATAACTTATGCCCATTGTAGTTATGCAGCGAGTGTTTTATTGAAATGCACAACAAGTCAGCCAAGCAGGCAAGCAGTCAGCAATCCAGCCACCCAGTCACTCATTCCCTCATCCGATCGGTCCAGCTGGCAGTCTGTCAGTGAGTCCATCAGCAATTGAGCAATCAAATGAACAAACCCCCAGATAGGATGGCGCTGTGAAGACGACATGAAGCTGCTGATGCTGATTTATAAAGCGTCGCTGTATGCAATTATACGCTCAAACGGAGTTTGTCTATTGCCAATCGTCTATAGTGAGTATGTGGGTGTCTGTAAGTGTGTGTGTGTGTGTGTGTTGGCTTGTGTGTGATTGTGTTGTTGCTTTATGGTAGTTGTATGCACCGCAATGGGTTACTCAAAGCTCTTAAAGTGCAAACAAGATTCTGTGTGCTTTTAAGCAAGCTTACCTATTGATTTCTGTGTGCCCGAGAACCACGTGTTTGACCCCTATAACAATATAGTATATGGAATGGTATTTGAATATCTATTTATTTATTTAGTTTTTATGCTGAAAATATTTTGTGGTTGATGATGAGGAAACACTCTACACATCAGCTATATAATAAAATGGTATAAAGCTTGGAATTTTTACATATTTTACTTTATTTTATTCTTTTTCTTTCTGTGCAATGAGTAACAATCTATCCCTGCCATCCCATAACCTTTGTCTTTGCACTCATAAAGATATAATGCAATATTTGAGAGTTATTATATGACTGTATCGATTTTTGTGCGGCTTGTATATATTGAATATTCAAACTGTAAGCATTATTTTTTGTACTCAGCCGTGTAACCATAGTAATTAATGCACTTCACTAAAGATTCTGTTTAAATGTATAAACAATTCTTAACGTCCTTCCACATCATGAGAGTGACGGACCACTGACAAAATGTTGAGGTAATCAACTCAATTAGCCAAGGCACAAGGGTCCCACACAAACATACACACAAGCACACACGCAGACGAACAAACAAGAAGAACAACACAAAACTCAATTAGATGCCATAACTAAATAATCACAAACACATTTAAACAAACAACGAAAGCGACAAGAGCAACACTTTCAGATGCTAGGCGACAACGACGTTGGAGCGCTGTGTAAGCAGAAAAACCAGGTCAACAACAATAACCAGAAGAACAACAGTAACAACAACAATAACAACGAGAAGTAGAATAATATTCTGAGGCAATGACGACAACTACTGTGTGGAAAATTGCTTAAAATGTCCAGAAGCCAAGTCAAAAGAAGATGGCAGCTTGGATGGAAACGGCAGCCGTAACTGTAGCTACAGGAAGGAGCATTCCAACATGTGACGCACGTGACAAAACTTATCAAATGACTTTACTTCGCTGTGACTGTGAATCCGGTTTGAAGTAAACAACATAACACAGCGCAGCGCAGCACAACGCAGCTCACTCAACAGTGGATAGGGGCAACTGGGGAAAAGTGGAAAACTAAATGCCAGACCTACCAAAAGAAATAGCATATTTCTCTTATGAAATGCACAGTCGAGAAAAGTGGTTCGGGGTTAGGGGTTTGTGTTTTTGTCTTTACTAACCGGCTAAAACAATCAGAATCAAGTACAAAGGCTTGTGAGGAGGCTGCTCGACAAGAAAATACCCTAGTCAAGCCTTTTCTCTTTCTGCTTATGTCAGTATTAAAAGTTCTAAAAAACTTCAATGTTTATTGTCATATCATTTTTAAAAATTGAAAGCCATTAAGATGAGATCCAAATATGTTTATACGTCAAGCTCTCTTAACATAAAGAAGTTGATCGTTGTTAAGTTACTGACATCTAAATTTCTGAATTCAGATCTGCATTTAAAGCCGCCTAGATCAACGAGTATAGTCAGATGTAAAGACAGGCAGGATGAAATGGCTTACGTATGCTACCCTTTTTAACCATTATTATTTTGAGAGTACAGGGTAGAAAAAGACGGCAAACTGGAAACAGCTCAGATGGTGGTGAGTGGTTCCACTTGTTGCTCCCTCAGCTCTGAGTTATGGCTCCATTCTGAGGCACGAACTGCCTTGAGGGGAAACTGGCGGACGACACTGGAAATATTTTACAAGTGCAGTCAAGTGAATTTCTATTTGATTCGTCTGACTTGGCTAGCAGACTTTGGCACATGACTACACAGATTTTTAGTTCTTTGGGCGCTTATTTCTCAAAAGTTTAACGGAGCACAAATGCTAATGGTTAGCCTAGGGACCCATAAGATGAGAGAGTGATTCAACTTGGTAACACTTGAAAGTCATTTAAAAGTGGGAACAAAAAATTAAATAGGAACTCGAGTATTCAATGGTTTATTAATAGAGTTTTTACTTGGTCTTGGTTTCTACAACTAACAGGCATTAAAACATAGGAGAATACCTCAAATTTTATTGCCAAAAGATTTAATGGTAAAATAAACCGACTTTTTCCAGTTAACATAAGAGCTTTAAAGATTAAGTTTTAAATAAATAATTAAATATCTCAGTCATAAAATGATATGGAAGTCTTAACCCAGTATGCATTGTATTTCCAATTCCAAACCAGCTTGCCGAATTATATATTTTCTCATACTCGTCTGGGCTCTCGAACAACACACATCTTTTGTATTCAACTGGAAAAATATTTTTCAAAAACCTACTTCCGTAAACAGGCTAATGTAAGTACAAATTTATACAAAAGTCTAGTTAAGTTTTTAGATATATTATTTACAGTGAAATAAGTAAAATGTGTAATCCTTGCTTGAGATCAATGCCTGGTACCTGTTGTGGTCCAACAGGTGGTCTAGGCCCCTGCGGCTTTTGCGGACCCTACAATGGACAATGGTTCCGAGCAGTAAACCATTGCTGTGGTCCGATAGGTCCATATGGATGTTGTTCGTGCTATGGAGCATATGGTGGACACCGTTAGCCTGCTTAGAAGGAAAGTAGGTTTCGATAAACTTATAAAGAAAAACTGGCTTTGACAAAAAGACGATGTATTCGGAAAGAGATTGCTGTGATTTAGCTAACTAACTTCTAAACGTAATAAGCAAGGTCGTGTCGTCGTAAATAATAAATTAATGTCGTTATCGATTTGTGTATTTCATTATTTACAAGGGTGTGAAGGGGTATATTGATCAAAGACATGGTATTTTTATTGAAGCTCACGATTTGAGTTTTGTCTGAACAGGGTATTTCGAAGTTGGCTGTAATCTTTGTTTAATGATGTAATGATTATGGCAAATTCATGCGTTATCATGTGCTGGCACAAAAGATAAAAATTCAAAATAATATATGCCAAAATATGAGGGTGGGGGCAAAAAGCATTTTGCGCGTTTCCAAAAACAGTCCGCGGGGAGCATTTAGAGCCAAACCGATTTGATTGTCAATACTTTGTACGTTAGCAGCTAACGACACGCTGGGGAGATACAGAGCGGGACAGAGAGATATAAAGACTTACATAAGAGAGGGAGGGCGACTCGTGTAATCGTGGTAAATTTAAAAGTGCAAACTGAAATAAAACTAACAAATGATAAGAATAGTCAGAAACTACTTGGCACGCTTCGCGGTGCGTGAGCGACAGAGTGAAGGAAAGAACTCGACATTGTTTAGATCTGGCGCCTGACCCTTGGCAGGCTTCTCTGGCACCGCTGACAGCTGCTTTCCACGGCGCACACTGAAATCGCCTTGGCTCTGACGCAAAGCTGGCGGCACATAAACTTCATGCTTCTTGACCGACTGTAGATCAACTGCCTGGATTGGCTGTAGCATGAGCCAAGGGCAAGCGGACTTGTATAGCTCATCGGTACACTGACCCACGTCCAAGCCATCACCGCCAGTATCTTCGATATGACAGTGGTCCACGGAGAGTGGCACATCCTCGTTGGCAACGGCTGCTGTCGGGCTCAATGCCAGCCTCGAGTTGCGTTTTAGTTTTGGAAAGGGCTGATCATGGTCCTCAGTAAAGTCGCACCACTCGTCCTCCTCATCGACGGCCTCGTCGGAGAAGCGAATGCCGAATGCAAGTGCTGCCTTTGTGCTGTTAATCACCTCAAACTGTAGCTTGTCTTTGCTATCCACCTCCTTTGGCGCTTTGACAGTTTCCTCCAGTGTACGATAGAGCTCATCGGCAGCCAAGAGGTTGGTCTTTGTGGCGGATTTTTTTCTGTCCTTTTTGGCAAAGAAATCATCTAAACTAGACATGCTTCGTTTTATTTTTACTTATTTTTGAAAAAAAATCACGAATTTCGTTCTGTGCTTTTTAAACCCAAAAATTTTATGTTACTGATACTGAGCGATAAACATCCTTGATGTGAAGCTTTTTTGACAACAAATTCTTACAAAGTTCAGTTATAGTATGGGAAATACCCTGACCTTGTTGTTTCTATATGATATACAAAAATAAATAAATGGTGGTGGAGGGAATACGAAGCAAGCCTACCCTGCTACATCTCAGCTTTACAAATTATTATTAAAAATTGATTATTAAGCTTAATAATGAATTTTGTGAGTTTTCCAATATCTTATACTTTTCAATATTTTTTCATTTATTTTTATTTCGACCCATATTATTCGGTTGTAATCTGCTCTTGCTGCCAACTAGTCTTACCTAACACAGACACACACTCCCACACACAACTTGTTTGGCTGCTAAGCCTGGGCCACGCCCTTCTGGCCTCGCCCAATTTCAGCTGGACCCGCCCACGCATAAGCGGCTTGTGCTCAAAAGCCGTAATAACATAATAATTTTTGTGCTAGCACATTTTTCTATGTGTCGCTCCTCCTCCCTACTCTATTTCTCTCTCTTTCTTTCTCTCTCTCTCTCTCTCTCTCTCTCTCACTCTCTCTCTGTCTCTCTCTCTCTTTCTAATGTTTTTCATATGCCACTAATTAAAATTATGTGTACACTCCTCTCCGTGCTCTTCCCTTTTCAAGCCGTATAAGTTGTGAAGTGGCGAAAATCTTTTTATGGCACTGTGGCGCATATGTTCATTATATATTGCCGCCGACAAGATCCTTGAATCCTCATCGTGCCCGCCTGCTTGAGTAATTAGCAGCACCGGAACCCGCAACACAACACAACACAACAGAACACATCCCAACGCGACGCAATGCAATCCAATGCAATGCAATTGCAATGCCGGCAGCGCTCCTTGTTGTCCTTGTCGCTGGCACTGCACTCTATTTGTGTACAAGTGTGCCCAAAGCTCTTTATGAAATGACGATGGCGCTGTTGACGACCCCACAATATACTGTTGTCAAACAAATGTACGCTGAGCTACGCAAATAAACAACTATAACAACATCATATAGCCACAACCACTGGCTTGCACTACCTAGACTTATTATATAATTAGGGCGTCATTTGGCAACGCAATATGAATATTTGTTTTACTTGCCCTCAGCTTTTATAAGCTCTGCTCTGCTGCTAAGATGGGAAAGTATATGTGTGTATATACCGAGTTGTGTCACGCCAACCCAATATTTGAATTAAGTGCTTCAATAATGTTTTAGTTCTTTAAAATTAAGCATAATAGATAAATATTATAATCATTAGAATTAAATTGTTATGAGAAAAGGCTGTAATTATAATGAGTAAGTCACATACGGCTTTCAGTGATAATTAGATAACAAACTCAGAAATATTGCTTTGCAATACTCAGAAAGTGTAGTGATGAAAGAATTGCGTTCTTACTTTTAGCTGCTCAGATTTTGTAAGCTTTTGTATTTATTATCTGATAACCTTGCTCATTTTTATTTGCCCTCTAGTCAGTATTTCTCTCGAAACAATTCCAATAACTTTATTTTCTTGTAGCTGAAAAGCAATCCGAGCTTCTGTTTTTACTGCAACTGTCGGCTGGTAATTACCTAATAATTTTCTAATTAACACTTACTTTATTAAAAGATAAAAGCAAAATGAACATTTTGGCCGTTAGTAAAATGCTTAAAATGCTGCAGCCCGATGAAAAACTCTTTGTTTTTTCATATTATTTTTCAATTACGCAACATTTTCTGAAACTTCGCTTTTATTTTGGTGTCCATTTTTTACTTATAAATCCAATTAACGCCATTTGCTCGAGGATATTTATCTAATTAATAAGACGCAGCACCGAATTAAAATCGAATTCATAAGTGCTTAAGATAAATGTATTTGCACTTTGCTGAACATCTTTTTCTAGCAAAAAATGTGTTGCCAAGTCTGCAAGAAAGTTAAGCCAGATGGGAAAACTATCAGCCAAAATCAGTCAGACGTAACAACAACACACGTTGAAACAACCCCAATGAAACCGGAAGAAAAAAACCGGCTAAATATATTGGCGCCAGTTTGGCGGGTCGTCTGGCGAATGGCACAGGCGACGTCTGACTCTCATCTCTGAGCTGGAGACTCCTCTGTTTATTGTTATTGATTTTGAAATGGGAGAGAGATACTCTTCCGTGCTGCAGGATGCATAATTTGGAAACACCCCCATTCGCAGAATGGCTGATTCCCGGGATGATGACATCATCATCGAGACGCGTTGGTAAACAACTTTCAGGAGCTTACTCATACAGGAGTTTACTCATTCCCGGGTAGTTTTGTCATACATGGCATACATGTATACATACATGTAAAATCATTATATTTTTATTCTTATTATGGCATTCAACTTTAAAGCTGTTGTGAGTCACATTTTGTGGTTGTCTTCAAATTCCCGGCGCTACCCTTTGTTTGCATTCGCAAATTGGGTGGCAAACGCATGTAAATCCATTAAACTAAAGCGTTACAGTACCATTTAAATTATAGTTGTATCCCAACACGCACATTTTACTTTGCGCCTGTTTGTAAACAATAAGAATTTATTTTGTCATATTACAACGTTTGGAAAATAAGAATAATAATATTAACATATATTGTGTGTTTCCTTATTTATTGAAATGTCTGTTCGAAATTGGATACCTCTTATTGCTAATTGTGGATAATGGTGTTTTCCCTAAAATATTCTTTCTTATAATTGCCAACCAAATGTACGAAACAGTTCATAACTAATTTATTGTCACCTTGCCGTATAATAATAATAATAATAAAGTAAATCTGTTTTTGTATCAAACCCCAATTTATCCACTCACTTAAATTTTGTTTCATTTTGCCATGGTATAATTTTTTGGCATTGCTGATCCCGCATATTTTGTGCCTCTCGGGCAGGTAAAAAGGTACACATACATTAAAAGCCAAAAAAAAAGCTCAAGCGCGAAATGAATGTTTTGTTTTGTTTTTTTTTTTTGTTGGAGGGGCATGCTTTACTTTATTTACATATGTACGGGAATCGTAATATACACTTAATTATCACGATGGAGGGAGGGGGGAAGGGAAAAAGTCATGCAAATAGAATGCGAACAAAGAAATTATTGTGAGAACTCGTACTCTAAAGAGTTCTTACATAAACATTATTAGTAGCATGGAGCTGTGCACCACAATAGAACTAACAGTCACACAATAGGCACATGCATACCCACACACACACACACACACAGACATACACACACGAGCACATATTTGTGGCACGTATGTACATGACTTACATGCAAAAAGCTTTGCAGCCATTTTAGAGCCAACTTGCAAAATTGTAACTTGTGTTAGTGTCGCGCGTATTTTGTGCCCCTCACAACTTTTTGCCATAAATATAAATACACATACGCCCCGTTTTACATGGCCCCAGAGCCAAGTGCTCGTCCTTTGTGTATTTATTTGTTTTATTATAATAATCTGTGCCAGCAGTAAAAGAACCTGCGCCGCTGTTATTTCTATACCAAGTGTGTGTGTGTATTCTGTGTAAATAATTTGCGTTCTACTGTCTGCATAAGTATGATTTTTATTTTGTTGTGGTTTATTGTTCTTAACAACACTTATGCAAACAAAAAGCTATTGGATTAATTGAAATCAATACGAAATTGTTTAATACACGGTTATTAATGGAGTTTTTTATATTGATCGAATTAATAAAAAGTGTGTACAATTTGTGTGAGTATTGGCTTACAACAAGCTGCTGGTTTACAGGAGTATCATCGTGCCCACATGGACATATGAGATTCCATTTTGGTTCACAGCTGCAAAATCTTGGATAATCCAAATTCAAGTCTTGCAGAACAAGGTGCTCAGACACATCTCTGGTGCTCACCATACGTGAGTAACAAGACGCTGCACAACGACTTCGGTCTGCCGACAGTCAGACAACAAATTATCCGATATACAAGTCGGTATAATGTCCGGTTGCACAACCACGTTAACCCTTTGACTTGCACACTTGGGTCAAATACAAAGCGCAGGCGGTTGAAGCGCCTCCACAGCAGCGGCTTTTGGACTGCTGGGCGTTAAATTAATGTGTTATAAATGTAATATTTAATCTTATTTATTATCTGCTAAAACCAGTTCTGTTTATGTTATTGATTTTAATTCTATTTAATTATGCATTCAAACCTTTGCAAATCCATGTTTTATTGCCTTTGAATAGGTTGATTAATGTTTAAATATAATTGCTTCATAAAAAAAGTATTGGATTACTTAAGTAACGACTTAATGGTAATGTAAATGTTATAATCCTAAAGGGGTTGGTATTAACTACACATATATCGTGCCAGAAAATTATAGAAACTTTAGAAAATGTATAATATTTTATATGATTAAATATTTTATTTTGTTTAAGCATATCCGCTGTAAAGCTCTTACCTTATCTGTTTATATTCGTCGCGAAATATTTTAATCTTTCACTTTTAAGTCGGATAGACTAGAACTCGTTACTCCTGCTGTGACTGTCTGTTAGTCAGGCAGTCAATCACTTTTTGTGCTTGGTAAAGAATAAAGGAAACTTATTGAAGCGCTCATTCATCAATAAAATGCAAGTAAAAATCAAAAATCGCTATGCAAATATTATGTCAGTGGCAATATTTACATTTTTCATGCTACTCGACGCTTTCACACTTTTGCCATTTGCCTTTGCGAGTTTTTGGCATTTGGCATTTTACTTTTTTCGTTGCCTTGCCAAAAATAAAATTCGTAAATATTTTGCACCTTAATATGATTTTGCGAGAAATATTTTTCAAATGATTTGTTTGCTTATGTATTTACATTTATCTGTGCAGAAATTGTTGTTGTGTCAGCCAATTTGCTAGGCGAGGAAGACAGACAGCGGATGCATTGGGCGGGTGGTTGGAACTGAAGCAACTGAAGCAACTGAAGGAACTGATGGAACTGAAGCACTCACTGTAATTGTATTTGCGTTTGTTGCTTACTTCGCGTCCTA